AGGTTCCACAATTTCAACTGAATAGCGAGGTTTGGTCTGGTCAAAGTCTTACCCCCAAACAAAAGAAGCAAGTGCCAGACAGGGTGTGTATCAGTAGTTCGTAGCATTTGTTTCTTATTCGTTGATAGGATTATATACTGGATCTTGTTTAGATACTGAGTAATTTGAAGCCCAAACGAACACCGACACACGGATACCACCCATAATGCAGTAACTGCTGACGCTTCCGAGTGCAATGATTCTGTGGGACGCGAGACGTGGCCATCCGCCCACTGGTGCGCCGTATATATAAATCGACCAAAGATGATCTATGTTGACTAGTCAGTTCAATACCGGCAGGTAGAAAATGCACGATATCGGGTGGCGGCACCGGCTCCCATCGAAAGGTTATCACTCGACGTACTCTGTGCCATTTTCTCCAAAGCGATTGGCTCATTCGAGCCTCACGAGCGGCAACGATTTGCCGTCCACGCAACCTCTGTTTGCAGAATGTGGCGAGATGCTACAGTCGACATTTCTTCCTTATGGTCGACTATATCAATCAGTTTGAAGCATTCTCCATCACTTTCATCGCTCCAGTTATTTCTCAAGAGGTCGCGCGATCATAAATTGGACATCTTCATTGATTGGGCTCATGGCTTCATGGGGTCCAAGCGGAAACCCGAGGAACTCTCAACTTACATCACGGCTGCGATGCATGCCTTAGTGCCTCACATGCACAGGTGGCAGTCTGTGGACATTGCTTGGGAGATTGCCCGTTGTGGAAGGCTAAATGATATGTTTGGACCACTCTTCACTCGGAGGGCGGACGTACTGACGTACCTATCCGTATATTGCTTCGATTACCTTGATTACCTGCCACTCAATGGACGTGGCCAACTTCATTACTTCCAGCAGATATTCACTGCACCACGTTTGACTACACTCATCTTGCGGTCAATGCCTAGCGGCTTCGAATTGGAATGTCCAGCAGATTTCTTTCCCGCAATCGAGGACCGGACGTGGAGTGAGGGTGGAAGTTTGCAACTTTGAACGTTTGAACGCTGGGATGGCGCTCATACATTAGGGAAGTTCAAAGTTGACGCAGCTGCCCCCCCAGTTTCTTTGCTTCGTAAGCTCGTAACAAATCGTCGAAAGGCACGAGAGAAGGATCCTGACATGGGATTGGAGACGATAAGTTCCCTCAAGATCTACATCGAAAAGGCTACAACGGTGGAAGAAGAGCGGTTTTTCACTGATAATGTACAGGATTTCGTGTGGACTTTGGGCTCTCCGTCATGGTGTTCCGACATCTCTCACCAGCACTCTCGCTCCTATCATGCTAATCGTCTCGCCGTTCAATGGGTGCGTCTACCCTCATCCGTACTTGCGCTCACTGACGCATAATTTTCCATCATAGACCAATGGTTGAACGGATCATTGAAATTGAGGCTGGAGACGGAAATGTGGTGGACGATGCACTGAACACTGCCTCTAAGAACCTGCCTACGAGTAGATACTTCAGCATTAGTGACCTGGGTTGTACATCACGGTCGCCGTTCTCTTCGGTGGATTGTATTCTCTAATGACGGATTCCTGTACCGAGTCAAAAAGAAAAGTCCCTGAGCGACACCTGGCTGTATATAGCTAATTCTGCTACCGGTTGTTTCAGCTTGACGAGAGTCGGTATCGAAAGTTCAGGCGCTGGTGGTACTTAGCGGCAAAGGGTTGAGGCACCAAATCCGCTGTCGCGTTTGGGGGTCGTTGATCTCGTCCGCTCTCGATCATATGTATCCATGGAATGAACCGAGATTGCGCCAGTCCGAGTAACTGGCCCTTGAGGTCTCGAAGCTACCCCCCCAATATTTCTTCTACGCAAATATGAACACCTAGGTCCTAGCTTCGTGCTAGTGTGGTCTTGAAGATTTCCAGCGTGGCGATTCTGGCGAATTTTGCATAGTGCGGTGAGCATAGCTTCAATCTCACGCCAGGATTATACGTTTATATCGTGTGATGATTCAAGCTTTCTTTGAGCAACGTGCAAGTTTGGCCCGCGGTATAATTTGTATGCGACTCTGAGATAAGATGGATTGGGTGTCGATGGAGGCGACTGAGCCAGATATTGATGCAGATGGCGGAGTGCCATTAGACACAAAGGTTCGTCATATCTTCTGTGCCTGGTGATCACTGACTGTCTAACAGCTTAGTCTCAGGTCACTTCTTATTCCGAGTCCCGACCTCCCAGTGCACCTATCGAACGAATACCTCAGGACGTTCTTTCTCTAATTTTCATCACGACGAGTGCAAGCATATGGAATCTCCGGGAGCGAAAACTTTTCAGCCTCCGTGTTGCTTCCGTTTCCCGGTCATGGCGAGATTTGGCTCTTGATATCTCGTCCCTTTGGTCGACAATATACATCTCGTTGAATTTCCGACCGACCCCTGCGTCAATCCAGTTGTTTCTTTATCTCTCGCGCACACACAAGCTAGATATTGTCATCGACTGGGCCAATGCAGATATTGGGTCAAGAAAGGCCTCAGACTCCCGGTACATTTTCTGCGCGATGGATGCATTGATTCCCCACATCAGCAGATGGAAGTCCATGAGCATTGCGTGGGACATCTCGACATGCAAAGGGCTAGAAGACACATTCGTGCCTCTCTTTGTTGGAAACGCGAGCTCTTTGGAGCATCTACAAGTGTTCTGTTTCGATTACCTGTTCCAGCCACGCAGGCTCAATTTCTTCCGCAAACAATTCGCCGCTCCGCATTTGTCTACCCTCGTTTTACGGGCCATGCCTGGCGGATTTAGCCTCAATAGTATTGCAGAATGCTTCCCCGGACTCGAAGAATTTATCTGGGACCAAGGTGTCGGTTTCGAACATATCAATCGCTGGGACGCCGCTGGTACATTTTTAAAGTATTTAATGCCACTGGTCCGACTGCGCCTATTCTGCATTGTTAACCTGTATATCCACGATCCCCGTCCGGAGCGATACATGTCTTCACATCTCCAGACATTGCTTCCCGCACTCGAGCGACTTGAAATCATCGGGTCGAAGTACGAAGCTGTTGAAGACATTCTTGCGGCACTCACCGCACCCAAGCTGGCCGAGGTCCTCATCTCCAACCCTGAACTCCCATTCCGAAGTCCGTTCAACGGATTCTGGCAGCAATCGACTCGTTTTCCTGTGCTTCGCACACTGCGGTTGGCCGCTTCGTGCGACGCTCCGGACCCGGAAGATATTTGGGAAGCGTTCAGCGGTATGCATTGCGTCCAAATGACTTCTTCGGATTACGACGACCTAGTAAACCTTCTTCGTTCATGGCAAGAAGACTGGCATTTCCCCAAACTCACATCCCTGGAGTTCTACTGTAGTCCTTCTCTCCCAATTCCAGTCGCGATGCTCCGTACGTTCGTAAGCACGCGCAGGGAGGTGCTTGCGGAACATCCCAACGCCGGCCTAGGCACGATCCTCTCAATTAGGGTGTATACTTCTGCAACAATAGCAGACGACGACATAAAATTCTTTGTGGATAACGTGCAAGACTTCAGGTGGACACCGGAGCTACCGCAGTGGGACCCGGGGTGCAGTGGAGTTCAAGGCGACTATATCGCTATCCGATGGGTGAGTCTCTCCTTGTCAGCGTGCTTGCGTTTGCTGACAATCTTGCTCTCGCATCTGTTCTCACAGGTAAACAGCGGGTAGCAACTAAATTTAAATAGAGTCAACACAACGACGATATTACCCTCTATCGTCAGACGCCGCGCTCCCTTGCTAGACAAAGTGCTTGTCGCATTGGTATACGTATGCATGTCATTTCGATAGGGACCTATTACCAATACCTTCACTGGACGAACCAAAGGAATAAGGTGATCACTAGTCATAACACAGATCGCAGTGAGATTCGACCGTTGTAGAAGGGTTGTGAATCTCGTACCTCTAGCGCCGAGTTTCACACTAGTTGTCTAATGTGCAGGAACAGTCATGCGTAGTTAACATAAACACGTAGTTAACATAAACACGCAGTACGCTGGAAGCAGTAGTCATTTCGTTTGTCGAGCAATCTGATAGTTAGTTGGCTATACGGATATCAAAGATGGTATATTGTTGAAAACGCTGAAGACAATGACATATATGAAAGTTACGATCAGAGTAAGTCTCTCACAAGATATGCTACTAGTACCGCCAACATCGCCCAGCATACAAGCAAGACAGACGACGCCATAACGGGGCCCATGGCCACGGCTTCATGAAGAACGGTATCAAGAGTTTTCGCCATTGCCTCCATACCGAACTTGTCCACAGCACGCCGGCGAGCCCTGGCCGCCAACTTGGTCCGCTCATCTGCGGGGAGGGTGACAATGTCCTTCAACGCTTCAGCCCATGCTTCAACCTCAGGCGGACGGAGCCAACCCGTCCGCTCCTCCGTCGGTCCGTCGAGCACGCTCTCCGTGGGCCCCCCTGTGTTACAAGCGAGAATGGGAAGCCCGCATACCATGCCTTCGACGGGACCGATGCCAAAGTGTTCATTCATGGGCGTATAGAGCAGAGCTAGCGTAGAAGGGGCAGAGAGTAGCGCAGAGCGCTGGGCTGTGGTGAAGTTCAGGAGGAAGAGAATATCCGGGTCCGACTGCGTGACATCAAACGGGGGGATTTTAGTGCGAGACAAGGTTGGAGAGACAATGTTGAAAGTCAACGAGTTAGCTTTCGCGCAGTCGACAAGTCCTGTGATGGTCATCATGTTGTCTTCTAGTCGGGGATCATAGCCACCTAGCCCAAATTCAGCGTTACGGATAACATGAAAAAGAGGAAACTAACCGGCAACTACGAGTCGCATCGATTGCGATTTCGAAGCCAGAGCAGTTCCTTGTAGCTTCTTTCGGAGCATGGCAAAGGAGTTAACTGCTAGAACAGCATTCTTTTTCTTCTCAAAGCGATTCAGAGAGAGCAATGTTGGGCGGTCACTGCTCTTCTGCTCTCGTCAGAACAGCACGTATAAATCCACCATGCGAAGACGTACGAAGCTACCAATAAAATATCAGGATCTTGACTCTCCACGCTTGTCGCCTCGTATGCTGCAAGGTTAATACCAGGGTGTACCACTTTTGGTGTGCTTGGAATGGAGCTGAAATGTGCCTTGAACACACGAGAAGTAAAGTTAGAATTAGCGAGAATGATGTCCGCTTGCTCTGTACGAAGCGCACCTAAGTCAGACATTTTAAATGCATAGTTGGAACTCACTAGTGGTCACCTCCTCTAGCCAATCCATAGGAAATCGGTAGATCCGCTTCAAAATCCCCCCCTTTCGCTTCACCTTCCCCTCGACATAAGCTCCGTCAGCAAGCAACTTGTCAGGAAAATGGCAGTAGAACACAACTCGCGTTCGCGCGAAGGTGCGTAGGAATGGAATACATGTCGATAGCTGGTCTACAAAGTAGACATCATAGGCTGGGGATCGCGGTCGGAGGAGAAACGCCGTGAGATGTAACTGGCGAGCATGCGAGAATAGGATGTGGAATCTGCCCTTGAGCGAGCGCGGAAAGGGGGGCACCACGTTGTGCACACGAAGAGTGCCTATATGCGAGGCATTTCAGTGTTCTTTACGTCCTGTCCTGAGGAAGACTCGCGTACCGTCGCGTGTCTCATCGAAACAATGATTTGGGTCGTGGTGAGACGTGTAAACATCTACTTCGTGTCCAAGTTCCTGCAAGCCGAGAGCAGCATCGACCACAAGACGTTCTGCACCACCTGATGCAAACTTAGTCAGAAGAGCCACCACTGGACAATGTGCCTGAAGTACCTATGCCGAGGTCTGGGTGGATGAAAGCAATGCGCAACTTGGGTGAGGACATGGGCCGTCTGCAACCAACACAAAATTTCGAGATGAAATCTATTCAGGCAGACAGGAATTGAGAGCAGAATTTGTCTCTTGTAAGCAGGCTTGAATAGAAACCCGACAGACCCACTAGAGTCGAGGAAACAACGACCCTCGCGCTCAAGCTCTCGGCTGAGTCGCGCTTTGCAGTCCGCGAACGTGGAACGTGGAACGTTGCAAATGACACGTCTTTATAGTTCCGTCTTACTAATGGTTCAACTTGCTGTCTCGTCAGAACAGAACCAACTGAATGTCTCATGATCAATTTTGCGCAGTAGATTTGTACAAAATACACGCAATTCGAGCATCAACGATAGCGCAATGCATTACTGAGAGAGACTGTAGATACGTAATATACAAACTACGAGCCATGTGAGGTCAATTGTTTATCGTCATAGAGAAATCCTTGAACCAGGTGTATTGATCCTTAGGCGAAGCCCAATCAGGATCATGTCCACCAAAGAACGTACTGCGCGTGATATTGAGCCTACATGAGCCATAGGTACCATGACAACTCACCTGAAAAAAAGACCAGTGAATTTAACCGGCTGTCGATTTGGGACCTGTTCAATGCCAAACGTAGCATTGGTGGGATTCGGAGTAGGATAAAGGGTGATAGTGCTTGTCACGGACGGAGTGAGTGTCTGTACCATGGCCTCCATCTGAATGATACTAGTAAGGGTGACCACCGAGATTATTTGAAGAGTTGAATTCAGCTGCGGAGCGGACATTGACCTAGACACGAGAGCAGGACCAGCAGTACCGGAGAACGCGCCTTCTGAAGCCAAAGCTAGTGACGGCTCAGGCACCCCGTAGTCTACTTCGTTGCGCAGTATAAGCATGCCATGAGTGGGCCAGAATGCCACGCGAACAAAGTTGCCAAGTAGGCCACCAAGAAGGCTCCCACCATCAGTAGCTTGCCCGGAGGATGAACCATCTGGAGCCTGGCTATCGTCGTTGTTGTCGTCGCCATCCGAATCGTCGCCCTCAGAACCGTCGGCAGGATTGTCACGATAATATACATCCGTTCGATTGATCACGGTATTCCCATTCACGTACAGGACGAAGCCACCGTCTTGTTCCCCGGGCGTGTTAAGTGAAACGGTCTGTTGGACATGAGTCCATGCCCCAGGAGTGAAACTGAAGGATCCCCGGCCAATAGACAAGCCGTATGCAGCATCGCAAATGGACAAAGGAGGCGTCGAGCATAGGGCTTTCGTTTGTTTATCTTTGGGTGCGTACTGTCGTGGACTCGGATAAGACAGAGCACCACGACACAGGATAAGTCACTCACCAGATACAGCTCGCCTGCACCCCCCGCTCTCCACATCAAGCGAGTGCTAAAGCAAGTGACTGCCGCGTCGCCTCCAGAGCAGCCAGTGTGTCCACCGTAAATGCCAGGCAACTTCCCGCCTTGAACCCAATCGAAATCGACAGGGAAGAAGACGCTGTACTCCAGAGAGACACTCTGTGCGTTATGCAAATCAAGGGGAGTAGCATAGAAGTCCGCACCCCCTTGTGGGTCATTGGCAGGATCAATCGAATCCGCAGGATACAAGAGCTGCAGTGCCGCAGTGGAGTTCTGCTGCGGGAATATTGACAGAGAGGAATTTCCGTCGTCCATGATAGCTAGACCTATCTGGTTAGATGAGGCCGGGGCGTCGGGAACAATATGGAGATTCTGCTGGCCACTAGCAAAATTAGTGATATTGAAAGCAGCTAGGTCAGTCATCTGAGCGGGTGCAGTCCAAGCCGTTTCCGCCGTCGTTGCAGGGGGTAGCGGTGGGACGGTAATCACTTCTGTCACGGTAACTGGGGGGCCAGACACGGTAGTAGTAAAAGGCGGCGCCGTCGACGTCATGGTGACTACGCTAGTAAGTATCTCTGTCACGGTCGCAGTGGTTGCGACTGGCAATGAATTGATGCTAGGTAGCCCGGAGGACGTCGTATTCGACGAGGAAGATACTGGTGAGGGGCTTGGTGGAAGAACAGGTAGGAAAAGCAGAGATGTCACAGAGGCTGCTGACTGGAGGACCGCCATGCCAGTCGCAGCGGCGGCAGG